CTCCCCTTTCTTTTTCCTTTCCCGTTTCTCTTATTTCCCGTCTCATGAAGATGTCATGTCACAAAGATTTTACAGGAGGATTTTTTTAAGAAACAGATAAAGAAGTAGCAATTTCAAATGAGATAGCGGACATTATCATAATTACATTCTTGTGTAACTGCATACATGTCAAATCCCATCCGTCCAAACAATCAACAAGACTATGAAACTTCTGTATAACTGCATCAAAATCTCAAAAAAAAAAAAAGAAAAAAGAAAAAAGAGTCAAAGGCAACCAGTCTATAAATTCTCTGACGCATTTAATTGAACATCTAGTGTGCAAAGCAAATAACTTCTCCAAGTTTCCAAACCTCACCGCCTCAAAACCATAAGAAATCAGAGGATCCAAGCAATCACTACCAGAAAAATAATCAAAACACACCCACTTCCATAGTTTAATGACTTTTGTCCTTCATTGACCCACTTGAATAAACCTTATCAATTAATTTAATTAAAGCACACAAACCCAGAATAGACTATGAACCTTGAAATGAAAACAAACCCAAGTACCATTGCTGCCTCTCCAACCTTTCACATTTCACCTATTGAAGCTCGTCCTTTGTCTAGGAACTTGACAAGAAAATGACTTCCATTTCCTTTTTAAGTGAAAATTTTTAGTACTAGGCAAGAAATTCCAAATTAGAAAAGAATCCATTCACATTAAGGAGTGCCTATACGAGAGAGATCATGAAAACTCAAATATGAAAAGATGCGACTGTAGGGTTGTCCACTTGCCCCAGTGACGAAAGGGGTAATGGTTGTTGTGAGCATCGATCAAAGCTTCATTAGCATTTGCACGCTAAGAAAGAGACACTGAGATGCATAGACCCAAATTGAAATTCTATTGTGAAATTAAAATCCCGGGTAAGAGCAGGGATTTGAAATACACGTTTTTTAGGCTTTGAAATTAATGTAGCCAAATACATGATATTTCACTCAAATAACATTACAACCTACTCAAGTGAAAACAAATAGTAATTTTGAATTTGAAAGACTCAAATTTAAATACATTCTATTATAGTCATATTCTTTTTATTTTTTAATGAATTGAAATAATTTATATATATTAATTAGAAAAAGGGGAAAAAGAATCGATAAAATTGTAGAGTTTGAATACGTGAGGTAGGTGACTTTAAATTAGAATTCATGTCACTCGAACTATTCCTATTATGCTCATGTTCTTAAACAAGCCTCAAATTAAATTTTATATAAAATTCAAACTAAAAGAACTGAAATGAGTCAAAGGTGTAATTAATGTTGTGGGAGTAATTGTAATTATCCCATTTAGTGAAGCGTGTAAATTATATAATAATTTAATGTCAAGTACTCCTGGGAAAAGTTCATAGTGAAAAATGAATTTGAGTAAATAGCTACCATGTATAATTTAACTTTGGCATTTTACATGTGACGCAAATCTCTTATTATTAGACATAAGAGAATTGACATTGACCCAACTAAAATTACAGCCATCCTTAAGGTGCTGCCTTCGAAGAATATCAGGTTGTGTTTGGGATTAGAAATCATGGTTATTTTTCATCTTCATTTCAATTAAAAAATGGAAAGTAAGTAAAAAATTTGTCTGCCATAATTAAAAAAAGGAAAAAAAACCTGCCATGATTTAGAGTCGTGTTGATACCAGTTATTTGTTTTTTTTTACATAATGGTTTTCTTCTGTAACATAACCTAATGTAGCATACTCCAAAATGTTGTAATGCTATCATGGGCATCTTGTTTTGTTTGCTTTGAGTTGTATGTTATGTTTATTTCTCCTTCTTTTTTTTTTTTATTTGGCTTAATCTTCTTGAAAACCCTCTAATTATTTGTCTTTAAAACCATTAATTTCTCAACATACACTTTTTGTATTTTAACCCATACTCTTCATATTATTATTAGAATTAATCTAAAATAAATAAAATCTCATTATAATTGTCTCGTTGTTAATGGCTTTTATTACATCTTTCTTGATGTAACAAATCAAACAATTATCCATTCATTCATCACTCATCAAATAAAATAGTGGGACACAATATTTATCCAAAATTTAAGACTAAAATATCCATAATGCAATAACAAAATAAAATATAAAGTAATTACTCAAAACTAGAAAGAGATAAAAAGAGTTGAAGGAAGAACCTAAAAAAGAGACATGAGGTTAACATAAAGTTTGACCAAATTAATATAGAAGGAGAAGCACCAAACTGAGAAAGGGCCAGTTCTTGCGTTTTTGAATTGTAAATTTGGTGGGATGTCCTTGTGTAGCCAACAAGTCCTAACACTGTTTATTTTGGCTTGCGTAGAAATGATATTGTAAGTTTCCAATTTAAGTGCAATTGTAAATCTTGAAAACAGCTAGTCTAAAACATGGCCCATCACTTAAATTCCTATTTATGGTTTTACTTTTCATTTAAACATTCATTTAATATGGTAGGACCTTATATAATTACCTTTAATTGTTTTGCAAAATTTTTGGATCCAAGGTAGGGCCTATGCCTATCCTTAGATTTAAGTAGTTCTGTCATTGCTCTGTTACTTTATCATTGTTGGTACTATACAAATATAAATTTGATCTATTTATTCCTATAAAGATGGAAAAAATCTCGAATGAGATGTGACGCACGTGTGTTTTTGGTAAGATATTTTCACCTCGGTCCAAGTGGTTATGCTAAGTTGTTAACATAACATTAATGAGAACGGGATAACGGATTAGAAACAATTACTGTCTCACATGGTAACACATAATAAGATTCTGTTTATTTATTTATATATAATTTTTATTTTAATTGTATAATAAAAAATAATTATCTAAGTTATTGATATCGTACCATACCATACTAATCAGTACAATCAATACGTACCAATATTTGCATTAAATCAAAACAATACATAATTCAATTTCATTTTGGTCAAATTTCGACGCATCGACCGAGATTTAAACATACCGGCCAGTACACAAAAGTTATTGGTATAATTCAATTCAAATTAAAAAAAAAAATTTCATTTTTGATTTTCAATTTTAATGTTTTACATAATTTTCATCTTTTAATTTTTTTATGTACTTTTTTCGTCCATTTTTCATATTTTTTTCAATCATTCTATCAATTACTTCATTAAGTTTGTCTAAACATTAATATCTCTTATCTTATTTTAAAATTTGATATTTAATTTATAAAAATATATGTTTATAGCAATAAATCCAAAACGATATGCGAAAATTTTCGGTATCTGACACGTACCATTCCAGTAGTAAAACTGCTATGTATGCCGGTATAGTATTGACAACTTTGGCAACTATCTCTCATCACTTATCTTACTTCACTTACATATCATGCGACTTGAACTCAAGATCTCTTACTTTTAGTAAAATAAGATAACTACTAAATTATTTAAATCGTTAATAAGATTTTGTTTATTTTAAGTTAATTATAATAATAAAGTGAAATTTGTAAATTAAAATATATAAAGTTTCTGTTAAAAGGCTAATAATCTCAAAAAATAAATAGTTGATGGCTTCCAATGCGGTGATGGCTTCCAATGTGGTTATGACTTTTTTGTTTTTTAAGTGCATTGTGTTTTTGAATATTCTTCTTACGTCCTTACGTACTTGTGTCGTTTCTCTGAACTATTTCTCCCATCCTCTCTCACATCTTGAGTCCAATTATGTATTAATGTAAATTTGTTTTGTATATTGATAGTAACGGCAGCATTGAGAGAGCACGGTTATAATTGCACATGAAAAATGTTAACATCAAATAATATTATTTTTAAAAATATTGATTTTATTTGAATTAATTGTTAAAATTAATTAATTAATAATATAATAATTAATATTTATTATTTAATATATTAAAATTAACTTATAAATTAATATTTTTAAATATTATAATTAATTATATTTTAAAAAATTACAAACTAATAAAATATCAACTAAGCTAAATATAATTTGTGTGACCATAATATCTTTATGTGTAGTCATAACCATACTGCATCGTGGTGGCAACTTCACTTCTGTATTTTTAATGGGTTCATGTTTTTGTTTGAATCTTAAGCACTCTGGGGAAACCATGCCCCCATATCCAAGGACATTTTTCATTGTTTTCCCTTAACATTAAGAGTGATTTTTAAATTTACCGAAGATTGTTTAGTATTTAAATTGCATTAGATTACTAAGTATAAATCTTTGGATGAACGATAAGCTTTTTGATCTTGGAGGTCTCCCCATTCAAGGGTTTCTATTTTTACAATTTGGAGCAAAAAATAATAAACTCTAAATTTATACAGTTAGAGGCTAAATATTATATGAAAAAAGGAAAAATTAGAACATTAAATAATAATTACATGATAAATTTAATAAGTTAAAGCATACATTATACTTTATATATTTAATAGTTATAATTTGATATTCTAACATTTTTTATACCAAGATATTATATATGAATATTTTGTCTTAAAACTAAAAATATTTCCATTTGCTGAACATATTTTAAAAAATTTTTATTTTCTAATGATCTAGTGAAGGAAAATATTTTTTTTAAAATAAAAAATTCTACTAAACACACACTTAATCTTTCTTGACATGTTTGATGAAAAAATGAGACAAACCAAAAATTTGCAGAACCCTTGCACAGTTTTTACCTATAAAATCAACTCTTATCTTAAAATCTCTCATGATTTTCAATTATCTAAAACATTTTCTCCAAATATGTTTAGAATTTTTTTGTCAAAAATTATATCAAAATTTTAAAAATTCAAGATTTCATTATTTTTTCGTACTTATTTTTAACTTATCCTATAAAAAATACCATACGCAATGAGAAGGTGCATCAAATCCAAGTCATTCATTCATGAAAAAATAAGGCTGAATCAAGTGGGCCGGAGGTCCGAGATGCGATACTGAAAAGCCCATAAATGTCAGCGTCAAATGTACGCATATTCCGCAAAAATATCCAAAAAGTTGTACCCTCAACATAAGAATCAACGGCCCAGAAGAAATCTGACTTGGGCCCACCATCTGATGGAACCCAAAGAGATAAACACGAATATAGTAAACCCTAACCAAATCCACTTATAAAACGCAGCCCCCACCAGCTGCCTCCGCCTCCCATCTCTCCTCTCTTCAAAACCCAAAAATGTCTGACGAAGAGCACCACTTCGAGTCCAAGGCCGACGCCGGCGCCTCCAAGACCTATCCCCAGCAGGCCGGTACCATCCGCAAGAATGGATACATCGTCATCAAGGCCCGTCCCTGCAAGGTAATCACGTCTCTCTTTCTCTAGGTTTTATGATTTCTTTTGTTTTGTAATTTTTTGGATCTGCAGGCGAACAATTGTTTGGATAGATCTATTCCCTTTGATCAGTTGCTCGAGTCTGTGTCGGTGATTTTACACTTATTTGTTTATTTTTTTTTTATCGTATTTGAACTCGTTGGAAAGTAGAAATTTCATCGGAAAGTTTTTTGGGTATCAGGAAATTTATTATTCTTAGTTTCCTGTTTTTGATAATATGGAACTAACACTCTTCCGGCGATCTGATAATATTTTCTTGTGCATAGGTTTTTTTTATCTATAAATTCTTTTTCACGGTTGATGATTGGATCTTAGATCTGGGGGTTTTTATTTATTGTCTTCGTATCTGATAAATAATTAAATGCTATAAAGAAGGTTCTGATTTTATTTATAATTTCAGGTTGAATTTTCTTGTGATCAATTAAATTATATATATTATATATATTTTATATATTGAGAATTTGGGATGATTTGTTTTTGTAGGTATTCGTTTTAATTTATTGTTCTATATAAATAATTAAATGCAATGAAGTAGGTTCTGTTTTTATTTATAATTTTAGGTTGAATTTTCTTGTGATCAATTAAATTATATCTATCATTCTATATTGAGAATTTGGGATGATTTGTTATTTTTGGTTTTCATTTTAATTTATTGTTCTATGTAAATAATTGAATGCCATGAAGAGGGTTCTGTTTTTTTTATAATTTGAGGTTGAGTTTTCTTGGGATCAGTTAATTTATTTTGAGAAGTTGGGATGATTTGTTTGCTTTTTGTTATAATGTATTGATCTATTGCTGCATTTTTCCTTTAGGAAATGTACTATTTGAGCTTATTTATTTGACATTCGTTAAATCTTTTGGTTACAGGTTGTTGAAGTTTCCACCTCCAAGACTGGCAAGCATGGCCATGCTAAGTGTCACTTCGTTGGTATTGATATTTTCAATGGAAAGAAGCTTGAAGATATTGTCCCTTCTTCCCACAACTGTGATGTACATACTTTTACTTTTACACTTTACAACTATTATTGTCCCTTTTATGCTTTTTGACCGCACTTTGGTTTGAGTGGTTTGAGCTTGTAGTTTGTTTTGTTGACAATTAGTTTAATGTATATTTTGCAGGTTCCTCATGTCACTCGTACTGACTATCAGTTGATTGACATCTCTGAAGATGGATTTGTAAGTTTGTGCACTACACATGATTTTCTTGTTTGATTACTTGAAATTTTTTCCTCACACAATTCAATATCTCAAAACATTTTTTCTCCCACAATTCAATATTTTGAAACATTCTTTCTCGCACAATTATATATTTCAAAACATTTTTCCTCACACAATTTAGCATTTCAGGTGAGTCTGTTGACTGAAAATGGGAACACCAAGGATGATCTGAGACTCCCAACTGATGAGAACCTGTTGACTCAGGTTAGTTAAATGCTACATTACCCCCATCACCTGCCAGTTACTGGTTTCCTTGTATTATGCATAATGATCTAACATTTTTAGGACTGTGTTTAATTGAACTGAGGAATTGGGATGTGAGACTTACTAGAATATCTCAATTCAATATTTCTGGTCTTTTCTTATCCATGTTTCTGTTTCTGTGTAACTGTATCTCTGTTTAACCATGAAATTTCATTGGGTAATGTATGACCATATCATTTGTGCAGCTGTTCATATTTCGTTCTTTTGAAGATTTGAGTTGGTGGTTAATTATGAGGTCTTTTTTGTGTTTGCAGATCAAAGATGGTTTTGCTGAGGGGAAAGACCTGGTTGTCACTGTTATGTCTTCCATGGGAGAGGAGCAGATCTGTGCCCTGAAGGACATTGGTCCAAAGAATTAAATTGATTTGCATGGTGCTAGTCCAACTGAAGTTAAAACGATTTTTGTATTTATCTTTTCCGAGACTTGAGTAGGTATAGAATACTACTATTTGGACGCGTTTAAGTCAATGTTGGCCGTTATAGGACTAGTCTCCTGTTGTGCTATGCCTAATTGTTCTTTATATTTTGGGATTATGTGATTTTGTTATTCAACAGTGCTTTGTTTAATGGTCATGTTGAATTATTTCCAAGCTTTCCATTTTATGGCTTTTTAAGTGGAATCATGGAGTGATAAATGGTTGCTTTAAACCATTTCTACGATATGGTTGGCCTTTGCCCCTCTGTTACACGATTTTTATCTGTTGAGGATCTCATCGACAGAAGAAACCTGTGAGACAGTCATAGGTGTGAAGATTGTTAGGTTTCTTCTGGCAATTTAGTCTTTATGTTAGTCAATAAATTTTCTGGTTTATTGGTTAATATGGGTGCATCATGTTCAACTACATCTATATATTACCTAAGGGTCATTTATTTTAGGTTGGATTTATTCGGTTTTGTTGTCCTAAAGTGGGTAATTAGCGCTGTTCCTCAAAAATATTTGTCGTGTTCTGGTTTATTGGTTAATACGGGTGCATCATATTCAACTACATTTATATATTACCTAAGGGTCATT